TCGTTTCCTGGGGCGCCCGCGGGGGCAAGGGGGGGAGGGGCGGGGTGAGTGGCAACAGCGCTGGCAGTCGAACAAGCAAGAATGTCGCGCGAGGCCAGGGAGGAAGCGACGAGGTCGGTCCCAAGGGGCCTCGGGAAGTGGCAGGCGGCAGCCTCTAGGAATTCAGCAGAGGCCGGTTGGCACCAGAAGGGTGGGGGCAGATGGCCGCGGATCGCGCGGCAGAACAGGGCGGCGTCGTCGGCGGCGGCTCGCAACTTTGGTGTCAGATGGCGCCGCCACAGGATGGTGGAGAGACCAGGGCGGACGAGATCGGAGGTGGTGGAAACATGGAGGCGGGGGGAGCGCGGCCCATTCCATCTCCAGAGATTGAACCACCCGCCCCTCGGCAGCGAACAGTGGGCCGCATGCCAGATCTGGCGAGGAGGGCTGCTTCTCGAGGAAGCGCAGCCCCAGGAAGAAGCTGAAATTGCGCTACATGGCTCAGAACTGAGACTGCTCGGCTGGAGTAGTTGAACGCCGTGGCTCTATGTGGGGGCGCCGACTGCGCAATCATCATGCTTCGGCGTCGCCACCTCGCTAGCGGCGCAGTCCAGCTATCGAGCTTCGCCAGCGGGCCGAGCTACATGCCCAAGTAGTGCATCGATGGGGCGATGGCGAAATCCTCCCACTCGGGGATGTGCGAGCGCTGCCAGGTTCGATATCGCTCTATATGTGTCGAATATACTCCAGCGAGCGGTGTGATGTTGCATGTGGCCGCCTTGAGCACTAGCGCTGCGATCCTTTCCGCGGCCCTGCATATGCGTCTCATATGTCGAAGAGATGCGATGCTCGCCAATGCTGCTCCTACATCGTCTGCGCAAGCTCTGACACTTCCCAGGGATCGTCGATTAATAGTGTTGGCAAAGTCTCTCATGAACGGGTCTGCCGATATAGCGAATGCGAATCCAGAGGCTGGGCAGCCTTGAACTATTCCACTGCTGATGAAGAAGAACATCGCAGACACATGCAGGTCGGCACTGGGGCACGAAACGCCGCAGTAGAGCGCGGCAGAGAAATCCAGTAAGGCCAGTGGAAGACCAGCGTGCTTAAAGACCAAGAACAGCCATTGGTGGGCCAGACTCGAAAAGGCCCGTTGGACATCATCGCTGACTAGAGATGGCATGGCTGCGGCGGTCTCCTGCCGCGTCGAACAGACCCAAGCGCGGACATCTATCTCGACGGTGGCGTTCGCAAGTTGCGGGTCGGAACGAAGACTCTCTGGATCTCATGCGTGATCTTGGGGAGCTTATTGGATAGTTTCTGCGCGGTCACGCCGGGGGCGATCTTGTTGACCGTGTTTTGAGACCTAGGGGGCGGAGGCTGCCTGAAGCTACGGTGCACCCGTGAGGGGAATCGTCGGCCTCGGAGCCCCTGGGGAAGAAGATGCCTGATGAAGATGCCTAACGCAGCATTGTCCTCACAGCCCATGGTATTGCCATTGAGTTGCCACCACATCACGTCATGATGAATAGGAGCCGGTAGTGATGATGGCACTTGATAAGCAGCATGAGGTAGCCCGTCTGGGCCTGGACCTGAGCGCGCGAGATGCCGAAGGGTGTTTTCAATACTTCTCAGGGTAGGCGGCCGCATGTCGCCGGCGTCCAACTTAGGGCAGCACCGTCTCAGATATACTCCAGCAGCCACATATATACTTGTCTTGAAAATCGGCCTTCCATTCCCAGAAATTGCACCGTGCATCTAGGATCGCGAGGAAAGGATGGAACAAATTTCCGCCCGTGCCCCAGAGAGCGGCATATTGCAGTTGAATGCCGTCCACACTCTCGCTCGGTGTGAGTATTCGCATTCCCTTGCGGGGCTTGGCGCGCGCTGCCTGAGGCGCTCCCGCGCGCTCTGCTGCGTCCAATTCGCCGCGAAGCGTGCATCGTGCAGCCTCGGCGTCTGCCAGCTGGAGCTCGCCCTGCCGTCGGGCAAGGCATCCGGGTTGATGAGAGACAGCCTGCTAGATACTCCAGAGGAGAAATCTAGAAATTCGTGAGCGAGGGGGTAGCGATGGAGACGTTCAGCTAGTCTATAATCTGGTCGCCACACTGTTCGCGCAGTCGATCGGAGCATTATTAACTGCGCTTGGGGGAAAAGGAGTCGGAGTCCAGGATGGCGCCACGTGCGCACCTAGCCCCTTCTCGAAGCACACGCTTACACGTGTCCAGGATCATGGTGTGGGGGGGGGATTTCGCTCTTGTCGATCGTCGGCCAAGTCTTTTCGCTGCGTCGGACGAAGCGGGAGCTCTTGAACAGGCACTGGGGAATAGGTCGATCGTTTGCAGGGGGGGGGGGGGGGGGGGGGCGCGAAGACTGGCCAGGACAGGAGCGTGATCCGATATTTTCTTTTGTCCCAGGGTCTCTGGGAGCTCTCGAACAGCAGCAACAGCGTGGCCAGCCGTTAGGGCTAGCCAGGCCAGGAGATGAATACTCTGCCTATAGCCGGCGCGTGCTGCCTGGTGCAGCTGCAGTGCGCGTGCTCGCCTGGGTCTAATTCCACCGTCTGCTTAAGAACTCGGCCCCGCGGCGGCCGCTGTAGTCGCCTCCGCTCCGCCAGAGCAGCGCCGGGCTCGCAATTCGAGGCGGGGGCGCTCGGCTGAGGGGGCCCGCGCGGGATGTTGAAATCGCCCGCTAGGGCGACACGGTAGTGCTCTGGATCCTGAACAGCGTTCAGGAGTTCGCTCTGAATATGTTCAAGAAGCCTTCGAGTCTGAGGTCCAGTACAACCCAGAATTGCGAACGTTATCATGAGCAATGATGGGCGGGGTCTCGTCGAGGCTGTTCGGGGCAATGCCTAGATTAACCGAAGTGTGAAGAGCGCGACCTCAAATCACCACCTGCTCACTAACAGGCGCTCCAGCTCCAAGAAACGATGGCAATTCAGGGAAGAAGGTGACGACCCCGCCGTTGTTGGAAACAGGAAAGAGGGGGGAGAAAGCGCCGAACTTGTTCCCCGGGAAGTGCAGAAAGTCCGAAACATCAAAACTGTTTCCGTGGACCTCCTGGGCAACGATAGTCCGAAAATCGTGGAGCAACGTCTGCAAGTAATTGTGTTTCTTCGTTCGTGTAGATGCGCCACGGTGAAAAAGAGCTCGGACATTCCAGGTGCCGAATGCCAACTCAGGAGACGCTCTTCCGTCAGAGAGCTCAAACCACGCATTCAAGATACCATCGAGCTACCATCTGGAAGCCGCCGTCCTCTTTTGGGCCGTCCAAGGCGCGCACTGCGCGGGGAATGCCGAAGGCCGCGAGGTTGCTCTCCTCGAACTCGACTGACGGGACATCGTCCTGGTTCGGGGTGATACGCAGGAGGGGCTTCCAACTCGTGCTGATGACTCCGCTGTTCCGATCCGCAAAGAACTTGGTGTTGGGGCGCAACTCTGCCATGATTTTGCGGATCTGCTTCGTGAGCAGTTCTCTTCTTATCTGGACCACGTTTTTATCTTCAGACATGAATAATTGAGTCTGAGCCTTCACCTGTGGCCGCCGCAGCGCGAAGACGTCGGAACTGGTTGTCGCCGAGGCGCATGTTGCAGAGCGCCTCGGGAACTTTGCGCGCTGCGAATCCTGGGGCGCCGCGGGCACGCACAACGAAACGTTTGGCGGCGGCGGCGGCCTCCAACTGCCATGAGCCTTCGGCGAAATCGCTGTCCTCCAGGAGGGGGGCGATGGCCGCAGCGACAAACACCTTAGTGACCAACGCCTGGGCGCGGACGACAAGGACGGAGGGGGAGCCGCCGACGCGGGCGAATGGCTTGGGCTCCTCCGTGGCCATGATGTTGAAGGCCTTTTTGAACGTCTTGATCTCGCTCGCCATGATGTCCATGCGGCTGGACAAGTTGGCGGCGCTGGCCTGCTCAACGCTGGCATCGGTGGAGACGACATGCTTAGTGATGGAGCCCTGCAGTTTGGACATGGCTGCTTGCAGCGCGGACACGCCAGCCATGATCTCGTTCTTGGTGCCGTCGACGTGAGAGCGAAACTGGGCAAACTCATCGTCAGGATCGGCACGATGGGTGGGGTGACAAGTATCAGAAGTACTGCTAGGAGGAAACAAGTTGCCATCTTCCAGGAGCCAGTCGAGCAACGAATCCGTCCACTCGACGCTACCAGCTCCTGGTCCGTCTGATCCTTTGCCTCGACCAGGACCAGGACCTCTCCCGTCTCGCCTCGAGACCTTTTGCTCAGGTGGTCCCTCTGCAGGGGGGGGGGGGGGGCGCATTGCAGGCAGTGGAGGCGTCAGGCATGGGAGAAGAAATGAATGCCCGCCAACCTTTGAAAGCTTGGTCGCCTATAAGCAAGGCTGCCTTGCCCAACCTGAAGCCTGTCCCGAACCTTGAGCCAAAATGGCTACGGACCTCCTCCTCCTCCTCCTCCTCCTCCTCCTCCTCCTCCTCCTCCTCCTCCCACTCCTCCTCTTCCTCCTCTTCCTCCCCCTCCCCCTCTTCTTCCTCCTCCTCCTCCTCCTCCTCCTCCTCCTCCTCCTCTTCCTCCTCCTCCTCCTCCTCGTCGACCTGGAATCGGCGATACATCGCCGATAGGTCGGCGACAGGCCCCCGACGGCGAATCCACATGTTCCTGGGAGGGTTGGGCTATCAGGCCCCGATCGTCAATCAGGGGCGATCAGGGGCCGATGCATTCCCCCCTGAGCCTAAGCATCCCCCCACTGAACCTACAGTCCTCTTCGTCTTCTGCCATAGCTCAAGTCTCCCGCGGACGTTCGGGACGATCCGGACATCCCACAGCGCCTGTCGACGAGGCGCAGCTGATGGAGACACCTCCGGGGCTGGAAAGCCGCCGAGAATCTACGGAAACGTCCGAAAATCTCGAACGTCGAACCGCCATTCCCCTGAGCCTATCCCCTCCTGACGTTGCCTCCGAATCCCTGCACCCGCCCCCTGGCCGCCAAACAGAAAGCGGCCCCGGACGCGCCGGGCACCAGCCCTGCGCCCGCTGCGCCCTCAGAACGCGCCGTCCTGCTGCGAACTCCAGCGGGTCGTGCACCAGAAAACGGCGCAGTTGTGGAGGCAGCCTTGCTGGCGGCGCGCAGGACAGGGTGGCGCGAGGGGCCCACATCGCCGACGATAGGATTTGACAGATCCCAGCGAATTCCCCGATTCTGGCCTCTGGGGCCTGTGACCGGGCCTCAAAACCAGCAATAATGGACCACAGGCTACTTCCACGGAGGTGGTCGGGACTTCTGGTGCTGGGGCCGAGGACTGAAACAAAAAACCAGATTCATGGATGTCGGGGAGGCGGCCTTGTAGGAAAGCATGGGGGGCTCGCTTCCCAGATCCCCGACGTCATGATTTGTATAGCTTCGACCCACCGAAGGGGATGACCCATTCCTTGGGGCCGGTTTCTCATCCTGAGTCGTTTGTGGACGATCCCGAGGCCAGGGCCCCTGAGAGGCTTCCTCGTGATTTTGTCATGACTCGAGGGTGCCTGGGTTCTCAGAGGGGATCGGAAGCTTCTGAGAGGACGTCTCGGAAGGCGGGAGGGCTTCTGAGAGCCTCCCCCCCTATCCTCTTGGAGTGCCACCCCCCTCGCACCAACTCCTTCTGCGCGCCGCCAGGCCTTGGTCGAACTGATTCAGGCTCTTGTCGTAGACCGCCGTCTCGAGCCTCTCGTTGTAGTCGTCGTCCGAGAGCTCGTTGACGGAGATCCAGTCTCCGGTCGTCTTGTGCTGCAACACATAGAAAGTGTTGCGAATCCACTCCTGCGCCAGCTCGTTCCTGCAGACGAAGCCGACATGCAGCCTGAAGATGGGCATCACACAGTACCCCAAGATCGTGAGGTAGCAAGCGTGTAAGCCCACGCAGGTCAGGAGAGTTCTGTCGACTCCGTGACAGAACAAATGGTACGCGAGCCACCCGTCGATGAGAAAGCCAGAGACGCAGATGAGCGCCAGGCCAGTCACCATCAATATAAATTCCCGATGATTCGACAAGCCGATGACGTTGACCACCCATCGGCAATAGTGGTCATACCTGGCAGGTTCCGAACACCCTGAACCCAAAAGCCGTGTGCCATCTCTTGGGGGACCGATTTCTACTTTCGCCGCCTTCCGTCGAGGAAATGGGGTCCGAGCAAATGGTGTCGGAAGATCGCGCCGCATCGTCAATGCATCCGCGACGCCGAGGGTACATCGCCGCAGTTGGCGTGGAGGAAATCAAGCTCCACATCGGGCCGCATCGTCGATGCATCGGCAATGCGGCGCGATCCTCCGACCCCATCAACTCGGACCCCATGCGGGAGGCCCGGGAGATGCCATTTGCTTCGATCATCGAAGGCGAGGCCCTTTCTGGTACGCCTCGGCGTGCGGATGCGGCGGGCGTGCATCCAGGACTGAGGGAAGTGAGCATCGGGCTTGGATACCCCCAGACTTCCCTGGATCAGCATTTTCATTCCGCGCCTTGTTGTGACGGTCTCGGGAGCTGCGTCCAGCCGCGGCGACGAGAACCTCCAGAAGCGCCAGACAACCTCCGAAACGACGACGACCCCAGAACCCCGACGTCATGACTGTTTCCCAACGCCGACCCCAGGAGGTCTCGGCCCAGCCCTTCTCACTTTCCACCGCCCCGAGGCCCCGTCAGGGCCCCCAGAGGCCGAAAGGGCTGCAGCGACCCCCCCCCCTCCCCGGCGTGACCTGTTCACAGCCCGAGGGGGAGGCCCGGGACGACGACGACGACGACGACGACGACGACGCCTCACCTGCGGATGGGGCGGGCGTACATCCAGGACTTGTGCGCGCGGGGCGGCAAGGCGCCCGCACCCGCCGAGGCCTGCCCGTCGTCGGCAGGGCTGGGCTCCGCGGACATCAGTGCCGCCGACGCCCTGTCCGCTGCAGGCTCCAGCTGGCCCGGGTCCTCGGGGGAGGGTGCAGCTCGGTGCTCCAAGGATGGGGTCCTGAGGGCTGGGGGTCCTGAGGACGAGGTGCCTGGAGCAACATCAATGCACCCTTGGATCCCTTCCTCCTCCTCCTCCTCCTCCTCCTCCTCCTCCTCCTCCTCCTCCTCCTCCTCCTCCTCCTCGTCCTCGTCCTCCTCCTCCTCCTCCTCCTCTTCCTCCTCCTCCTCCTCCTCCTCCTCCTCCTCCTCCTCCTCCTGTCCTGAAGTCCCCACCCCTCAGGGTCCTATCTTCGAACCGCCCCGGCCACACATTGTTCAATGAAAGCGGACAGCGTGTCGCTTTGCTCCGCGGTGCGGGAGGCTCGGAAAGGCGCGGGAGGCTGACGCTGTGGACAGGGACGTGGGTAGATTAACACGCCAAAACGTGGTGGGCCAGAACTGCCGGAGGGACACGTCGCCCATCAGTTCCCACGGTAAAGTTTCGGAGGTCCGCGCGAATGGCTTGGGTCTGTGTTAAACCCTCCTCCCTGGCCTGGCGCGCTCCGCGCGCCAGAGGCGGCGCCAGAGGCGGCGCCAGGGGGGTCCACCAGTTCCATTTGTAAAGAGAGGACGTTAGCTTACAAAATGTATATCTACGCCGTTTCTTTCTTGTTTGGTGTCCTTGAAGGCTGTGATCGCCATGCACACCATGGTCACCGCGTGCAGCCCCAGGACAACGTACTCGACGAGCGCGGGGCGGTAAAACGCCTGTAGGATGGCACCAACTGTGCACCTGCGCCGATCCTGACCAGGATCACCCTGAGCCCAGGATCGGTGTACACGCCCTTCTGGCTTGCGCAGGAAGGCATACACACAGATCCTGGGTCCAGGATCAGCCTGGCCAGGATCGGCGCAGGTGTACAGTAGGAGCCCTCCGAGCCTGCTCGACGAGACGGAACTCGATCTGGTGCACGAAGGCCAAGCTGGCCAGGGTGGAGCAGGCCAGGGCGCAGGGCAACAGCGGGCGCTTGTCCACTCCGCAGACCTTGCTCTCCTCGCGTGGGCCGCGAGCCTCATCTCCACACTCCTCTGGAGGAACACAACCGGCGTACGCGAGCATGAAAAACCCGAGCTCCGCGCGGATTTCGTAGATCGGCGCTGGACCTCCCTCCCTGGCGCGCTGAGCACGCCAAGGGCGGCGCTGGAGGCGCCGGCAGGGGGGGCCCAACGCCGATCCGAGAAACCCGCTCGGAATTCAGAAGGTTTATGCTTGTGCCTTGTTTTCCGCTTCGGTCCTCCGCGTTGCACTCCCCGTCCACCAGGCACTCCGTGTTCTGGCAGTCGGGAGGCTGAGCATGGCCGTCCTTCTTGGCGTTGTAGGGTGTGCCCTGGAAGGACCTGCGGAACGGATGCTTTGTGCTCGGGGCCGGGGCCGCAAGCAACCTCGGGCTCGCGAACTGGTGGGAGTACGGCGTGGACTGGCCCGGAAGGCTCTGCATTGTGGGGGCGGGCGGCACGAAGCTGTGGTGGTTGCCCATGCTCGGGAACTGGGAGTGAGGAGTGAGGAGGAGGAGATGGGCAAGGAAGGGGCGATGCCGACGAAGACGAGGACGAAGAGCGAAGAGGACGGACGAGAGCGGAGGAGAAGGAAGAGGAAGAGCAGGACGAGGAGGAGGACAGAGCGGCGGGGGAGGGGGAGGATGGAGAGGGCGACGACCACGATGACGAGGACGAAATAGGTGACGACCTGCTGACCGGGACCCGCCCACGACGCCGGTGGCGCCATGATCGTCATCGGGGCCTGTCCCGGGTACTGCGCGGCATGCATAGGCGCAACGCTGGATCGCGTGGGGGACTGCTGGCGCATACCTATCGGAGCAGGAGATCAGGGCCCGACTCCCCACTGCCGCTGTGGCGGGCAGTCTGACGGACCTCGGAGAAGGTGCACCGAAGCCCTCGAGGTCTAGAAGGCCATCCGTCTGTCTCCTGCCTGCCACAGCCGTCAGGGGGAACCGGGCCAGCAGGAAAGGGGGGGACGCGCCTTGGCCAAGCCTCCACCATGATCTTCATCCTCCCCCTCCCCCCCCCCTTCCTCTCCATCCCCCCTCCTCCTCCTCCTCCTCCTCCTCCTCCATTTCTTCCTCCCCCTCCTGCCCCTCCTTCTCCTCCTCCTCCTCCTCCTCCTCCTCCTCCAACTCATCCTTACCCTGGCTCCAGGCGCGCCACCCTCTCCAGAGTAGCTCGCTTACCTCCCGCTGCGGGAACCCGCAAGCCGCTCCGAGCGCAAATTAAAGCTGTTTGATCCCAAACTGCGGTAACGGGATGTTGGGAAGCAACTCCTGGGACGTTCCTCAAGAACGACCAAGGGCGAACAAGCCAGAGACACGCGACATGAAGCTGGACTTTGCCAGACCAAGCCCTGGAGAAAGCCGAAGTGCGCGGGATTAGGCCAGCTTCGGCTGCTGGATTAAGCCAGTTTCCGACCCTCGGTGTACCAGCGCCGATGCTGGCTTTAACCTCCCAGGAGTTGTATCCTAGCGGATGCTAGCAAACGGCCACGTGACCTGCGGGCCTGACGCGAAGCCGAGAGGAAGAATGCATCAAGGGCAGGTGTCCGCGTCGGCGTGGGACTCAACGATCAGCCCCTGGGAAAACCGAAGGCGCGAAGCACCGCTCAAAAACGATCGGGAAGCTGTGGCAGGAAACCTCTCTGGCTCCGCCCTGCACTCTCACAAGCCCCGGACAAGGGTCCGCGATTCCCCCGCCTGCGAGCCTGGAACCTCATGCTTATAGGGGGGCCGAGAGACACGCACACAAATCGACGCACATTCAAGGATCCCCCTCACTTTTTCGTACTCCCTGGGTTTCACTCTTCGCCTCCAATTCCAACATTTTCACATTTTCCATGGGCAATCTGCGGTTTTGTTTCTGCCCATGCTTTCACTCCTGGATGCTTGTGCCCGACGTGCCCTTGGCCCTGCATGGGCCTCGCCTGGTGAAGACTGGCCGGCCCAGCAGAACAGCGATCCTGCCGGCGTGCGGATCGTGCGGGTGCAGATGCAGAGATCTTGCCAGCCCTCTGGGCGACCGTGTCCTGGGGATCGGTCCGCATCCCATCGGATCGGGAAAACGGATCGGACCGGAATGCGCGCCGGATCGGGCCGCATCGTGACGGAGGCGAGCGCGAAAGGGATCGGCAGTGCCAGGATCCACAGCATCGCCTTCGCAAGCATCGGGGATCGCCTCGGATCGTTGGAAGTCTTCGGATGCAAATCGCATCGGCCGAAGACGGTATCGAATCGGATCGAACAGACCCGAAAGAATTGAAGGGGCCCAGGGACACACTAATAAATACTCACACAGATCCCAGGATTTCCTATATGTTTCAACATGTGCTGGATTTTCGTCTATCACCCCACTTCCCATATTTTTGCATATTTTCCTGGGAATCGAGGATCAATTGTGTCTGTGTGTTTTTGTCCCTCCTGACGGATCCTGGGAGCGCGGGAGGTGGCGTCTGGAGGCCTCAGGTCGCCACCAGAGGCCCAAAAGGAGTCCCAACTTGCCCCAAACCTTGCTTCTCCGACCTCGATCCTCGATCGTGAGGGGGGGGATATCCTCCTCCTCCTCCTCCTCCTCCTCCTCCTCCTCCTCCTCCTCCTCCTCCTCCTCCTTATCATCATCATCATCATCATCATCATCATCATCATCCCTTCTGTCTCTTCCCTGCTCCCTCCTCCCTCGCCCGCCCGCCTCCTCCTCCCTCCTGCCTCCTCCTTCCCTCGCACTCCTGACATGCTCACAAGGCTCGTGTGCTCCGAGCTGCTCGTGCTGTTCTTTTTTGCGCCGCCTTTGGCGCTTGGACTGCAACCTGTTGCGCGCCCTAGCGCAGTGCTGAAGACGATCGTCCGTCGGCCTGCTCCCTGCCTGCTGTCTCCGCCTGGCCCCTCTTCTGCCTCCCCGCCCGCCCCGCCGGCCCTGGCCTCCCGCCTGGGCGTTCGTCGTCGTCTGCCTGCTCTGTTGGGCCAGTTTTACAACACCACCACCATCAAGTTGGAGGGGGGAGGGGTCCTCCTCCTCCTCCGCCTCTTCCTGCTCCTCCTCATCCTCCACCCCCTACCCCCCTCCAGTTCATGGTGGTGGTGGTGGACAACAAACCCATCATGCTTCTCCCCTCCTGGCCCCCTTCCGCTGGGCAGCTCAACCTGCCAAGGACCAGCGTGGCGGCATGCAGCACCAGCACCGTGGATCGGAGACCTATCGCCGATCTTCGGCGATGCCTCGTCGATTCAAGATCGCCCGTCGTTGTCGTGAGTTCGAAATAGGGTTAGGTCGGGCATGTCCCCCTACAGGCGGATTTTGGGCGACTTGCTGCGAGACCGTTTCCCCAGGAACCGTTTCCCTGGAACCGCTTCCCCGGGGGGCCTGTTCCGCGGAGACCGCTTCCCCAGAACCGTTTCATATCTCCAACTGGGCCTTGGCACGGGTCATCGGCGCTCCCTCGTCGAGAGCGGCGGCGACGGCCCCCGCTGCCCGAGGGCGAAGCATTGGCGTCCCATGACTTCGGGTGGGCTCCCAGACTGCTCCGCGCAGGCGCAGGTGGCACGACTGGAAGCGGAGGAACCTGCACCAGCAGAGGAGAGGGGCCTCGTCGTCGGCGTCCGCCCCCAGGCCCTCCACCACGAATTCGTCCGCTGACTGATGCGGGGTGTTCCGTTCTGCACCTGGGGCCGCCGCCTCCTTGTCTGTGGCTGCAGCGCCGTGAATGGCCCAGGCAACGCCAGCAGGACGCCCCCCGGCCGAGGGTAGCCTAACTCGCCCTCGCTCAAGCGCCAACGGTCGTGCCTGGTGGCCAGCGTCGCGGCGAACGGGTGGAGGTCGGGCCACGCATAGCCCTCGGGGACAGCAGGTTCCCCTTCTGCAGCGAGCCCTGGCTGCCATCGTCGGCAGCGCGTACAGAAAGCCTGATGGGCCTCCTGACGGGGCTAACCCTGCGGCGCGGCCGTGGGCCAGCTACGAGCCAAGGCTCGAGCACGCGAGCACGCGCCTCAGCCCGCACCCCTGGGCCGCAGGCCAGGGCGCTGCAGCAGCCCCCGCAGAGGCAGCAGACGGCTGTGACGCCAAGCAAGGCCACAACCGACGAGAGCGGCAACGGAATGACTCCGCTGCTCAGGTCCACCGCCAGCCCGAGGCAGACGGTGGGGCAGGCCGTGCCCCAGCCGGCGGGCGGGCACTGCCCACCGCCGCCGGGGTCCGCCCGGGTGGACCACGGCGACCCCGCAACGGGGGCGCCGAGTTCCGCGAGCGATGGGAGCAGTTGACCTACAAGCCGCTCGTAGATCGCGGCGCGTACGCCCCGAAATATGAGCTCGCCCGTTCCCTCGATGGCCGCCCGGGCGAGCGACTGCATAAGGCGCCCGCCGAAGGGGGCCGCATAATGATTTCTGGACGATAAGCTGCAAAGACCGTCGGGCGCACGAGGCAGGGATAATCAGAGATATCATCGTCATCATCATCATCATCATCATCAGCAGCAGCAGCAGCATCATCAGCATCCTTTTCCTCATCTGCAACAGCATCACCATCACCACCATTACCATCACCGTAACCATCATCATCCGCATGGCCATACACATCCGCATATTCATCCACATCATAAGCATACTCATGCTAACAACAGTAACAGGTACTCATCGTCGTCATCATCATCAGCAGCATAATCATCTCGAGAAGGCGCCTCTTCTTTTTTCATACGATCAACATCATCATCCTCAGCCTCATTATCATCATCACCATCACCATCATGATCATCATCATCATCATCATCATCATCATCATCGTCGTCATCATTGCCATCACCAACACTACCACCATCACGAGCATCATCAACATCCACAACATCAGCATCATCATAAGCATCATCATCATAATCATCATCACCACTATCAACAACACCAGCGTCAACACCAGCATCAGCATCATCATCACCATCATAATCAGCATCATCATCAAAGTTATCATCACCACCACCATCACCATCACCATCACCATCACCATCACCATCACCACCATCATCGGCATCAGCATCAGCATCATCATCATCATCATCATCATCATCATCATTATCATCAGCATCAGCATCAGCATCAGCATCAGCATCAGCATCAGCACCAGCATCAGCATCATCACCATCATCATCATCATCATCACCATCACCATCATCATCATCATCATCATCAACATCATCATCATCATCATCATCATCATCATCAGCATCATCATCATCATCATCATCATCATCATCATCATCATCATCATCATCATCATCATCTTTGAGAGAGATGGTTGGTGCGGCCAGAGGTTTGAACTGGGGTTCGGGACCCTAGAGACTCGGCCAGGAGAGGGGAACTGAAGCCAAATTTGTTCAACATGTGCCCTGGACCCCTCCTGGGGTCCACCTGGCGTAGTTTTTCACCCTGGTTTGCGTTTGACGGTCCTCGGGCCGGAAAACTGCTCCCGCAGGCAGAGACAGGCAAAAGGACGCCCCGAACCCAGGAACTTCGAACCTGCCCACCCCTCCTGCTGGCCAGAACCCAAGCTGTGCCACCTCAGATCTCCAGCCGACTCCAAAAGGCGGACAGCGACGGCGACGGCGAAGACAACGACGACGACAACGACGACGTGAACGAGGACGAGGACGACGACGACGACGACGACGACGACGACCACGACGACGACGCGACGACGCCGATCGGCGATCATCGATCGGTGGCCGCGGCGGCGACGGCGGCGGCGGGCCGCGACCACGGATGTCCTGCGCGCTCCGCCGCCGCTCTTCCGACTGCGCCAGCGCCTCCACTGGGAGGGCCCGCCCAGCTGGACAACGAGGACAAGGACAACGAGATGACGACGAGACGACGACGATGACGACGACGACGAGACGACGAAAAAGATGACGACACTGGACCCAGCCTGCTTCCCGGCATGGGAAATATTTAATCGCATCGGCTTGGCACCAAGCCGCGGTCGAGGCAATCGAGGGACACTGCGGGGCCGCATTGGGCACAGCAGGAGCGGGAAGTGCGCAAAGGGGGAAAGGAAACCGCGGGCGACAGAGCACGCTCGGAGCATGAAGTTCTTGTGCGAGTGCGCCAGTTTGTCGTAGGAACACCGAGAAAAAGCGACATCACCACCACCAGGGACGAGGGACCACCAGCGGCAGGAGCCAGGGGGGTCCCCCTGGTGGTGCGCCCTCTCCCCCCCTCGCGTTCGAGATATCCCCTATATGCCCAGCTCGGGGAGGCATCGTGGACCCCATCGCCAGAGGTGGCCCCACTGGTGGTGGTGTCGCTTTTCCTTGCCCCCGACTGGCAACTCGCGCGCGGTCAGGAACTTCTGTTCCGCCACCCGCCGCGGGGAAACATCTCCACGCCCACGGCTGCCAGAGTGTTGCCCAGGGCCCCTGGCGAGCAGTGGGCATGGACGCGCCCCCGCCCCAAAGGGGGTGGGCAGGCGTCCGCATCCACCACTCCTCGAGGCCCAGAGGCATGACTCCGACGCGGCGGACGAGGACTAAGCCCAGACACCCATCGGCTACACGCAAGAGTGACTCTTGGTGCGCGGCCCAGGGGGCGCGCAACCTGCTGCTATCCAGCGATCTGGGGGCCCTCTTGGGAGGCCACTCTGGCGAAAGGTCCCTCCTGAATGCGAATCCGATGTCTCGATCTTTTCAATGTGGGGACCCGGCAGCCCCGAGCCTCTCCCCAGGGTCAGCTTCTCATCCCCAGGCCCACTCTGGACGGCCCTGGGGGCGAGGGCCGACCATGGCCAAAACCCCCCCCGCTGTGACTGTCCTCATGACGCGAGCATGTCTGGGCAGGAGATTTCGGGTCACAACTCGGCCGTTCGGGACGCTGCAGGCGAGGAGCAGCCGCTGGGGAGCATCCCGAGGCCGGATCACCGCCCAGAACCTGTGAAAACGCTCGAACACCGCAACCGAACACATCGAACACCTCGGACCTCGGGCGCGGCCCGCCCCGCCCGTCGCCGTCTTCAGGTCCCCGACCAGCTTCCCCACGTCCGGCTCCGGGGGCCGCGCAGCGCGGGCCGCCTCCTCCGGGGACGCGGCCGCGCGGGCCGCCTCCTCCGGGTGCGGCGGCGGCGGGCCCGTCTCCTGCGGCGAGGTGGCGGGGGCGGCGCGTGCAGGGAGCGGTCGGGCGGAAGGCGAGGGCAGGACCAGCCAGCAGCCAGCATCGGGACATCGTGCGGCGGAGTCCCCGGAAGATCCGAAGGCTCCGCAAAGACTGGAGCGGCCAACTTTTGACCGTTTTCGGCCTCCAGGGGCCGCTGCTGAGCCCCATGGCCGCCCAACAAGCGACCCAGGACGAAAAAACTGGCCTTGGGACGTGGTCCAGACCTCCGGGCCCAGTCAGCATAGAAGCGGGAACTCGCACGGCGGGGTCAGTGGACCTTGGATCCTGGCATCTCAATTCTTTCGAGCCCAGCGTTTTCGCCGGGTGTCGGGCCCCAGGGCCCTCACAGATCGATCCGGCTCGAACGAAATGACGCAGAAAAATGGGGTCCAGGGTTCTGGAGTCTGGAGGTGACTTGATTGGTGATGTCACATTTGTTTCGCGCCGTCGGACCTCAGGGAAGGAACCATTAAAATAATCCACGGCCTGGAAGCCAGTTGAACGCTAATAGAGGCTTGGCCATGTAATATCACCGCCGCCCTGACCAGATGAGGAACCCTCCAGGGTCTGAAACCTACTGGGCACATTTCTTAACGCACGCCGCTCCCTCATCGCATCGACGTCTGCGTCGGATCGGGTCGCACCGGCACGACGTCGTAGTCGGATCGAGTCGGCCGCGCCAGGATGCACAGCAGCGACATGGGGGCCCTGAAGGATGCGTCGAGCCGCCAGGATGCACAGCAACGCCATGCGGGCCCTGCAGCACCTGTCGAGCCGGATCGATCCGCGAGGGCCCCGGGGCCCGAAACAGAGCGAAAGCGCCCGGTTCGAAGAACTCGAGACGCCAGGGCCTCCGCCTCGGACCGCCGGGCGATCGGACTCGAGTCGGATCGGGCCGCAAGGGACCAGTATCGCATAGAGGAGGGGGGGGGGGAGAACGAGGAGGAGGAGGAGGAGGAGGAGGAAGAGGAGGAGGAGGGGGAGCGAGGAGGAGGAGGAGAGGGAGGAGGTGGAAGAGGATGGATCGGAGCGACGGCGACGGTGGCGGGCGGCGCCTGGCGCGCGAGAGACCCGGACCCCCGACGTCATGCCTGGCGTTTCATCCCGAGTCGTTGCAGAGACTGAGCATAAAGAAAAACCTCCCGGTTTGACGGGATGTGACTCGAAAAGGGCCTGGGGCTATGTTGTTCCCATCCTACTTAAGGACCGCATCCCAGAAATAATTTCGAGCACCCCGAAAAGTGTCAAAAGAGTGTCGAAACAGTGTCGGAACAGTGTCGGACGAGTGTCACCCAGGGCCCGACACGTGAAAACCCTTGAATTTCGGTACTCTTTTGGGCGCCCGAAATTATTCTTCATAATCAAGGCTAAAGTAGGTTGGAGCATCATAAGCCTGGGGAGCAGGACGAGGGCGAGACGAGATTCCGCAGCCACGGCGCGGGAACTCTGAGATCCTGGCGGCTCATTTTTGTTCGAGCTGGGCGGTTTCGCCCAGTTCGAGCTGGGCGTTTTCGCCCAAATCTCGAGCCCCGGAAAGATCACAGATCGATCTGGCTCGTCAGGCTCGCCAAATGGTGCAACGAGATGGGGTCTAGGGCTCCACTGGTGATTTTTCGCGCCGTCGGATCGCAGGGAAGGGGAAGAGGGGAGGGAGCAGGCGACTCGTCGGGGGGACGCATGCATGGAGGGAGGGGCGTGGGCACCGTGGCACCGTGGGTGGCAGCGAGGGGGCGGCGGCATGGAGGCGGGCGAGAGAGGCGAGTACGAGAGTGAGAGAAGAGGGGGCTGTGCTGCGAGGCGGTGCGCTATGGGCTCTGCCAACCGCCAACCCACAAACAAGCCGGCGCCCGGCGGGATTGATGACGACGACTGTGACGACCACGACTGCTACGACGACTGTTACGACGACTGTCACGACGACTGTGACTGTGGGACGCTGTGAAGGCAACGGGCAGCGGAGACTCGCCGCGGAAGATGATAACGACGACGGGGACAATGACGACGACGAGACGCGAAAGCCGCGAATGATGCCCCACAAGATAGGTAGACAGATCGCAGCCACCCAGTCTCTGCCAAGGGAAGCTCGGGGCAGCTGGCTGAATCAGAAAAAGAATCGCTTCCGAAAAATGGTCAGGCGCCCTAAAGAAACGATGCGCGATGCAGACGCACAAGGGGCCCCAACGGGAGAAGTAGAGGGGGAGGAGGAGGAGGAGGAGGAGGAGGAGGAGGAAGAAGATGAGGAGGAAAAACACCATCATTAGCAACATGAGCAGAAGCAGTAGGCGCAGCACAAACAGTAAGATGAAGAGCTGGAAGATGAGCAGAACAAGAGGAAGAGGAGCAGGAGGATGACGAGGAGGAGGAGGAGGAGGACGAGGCGGAGAAGTAGGAATAAGAGGACGTGGAAAAGAAGGATCTATGCCCCGGGAGCAACGTCCATCACCCTGGTCCCGCCGAAGAGTGATTCGTCCGCGGCCTTCGCCTTGGTCTCCCCGGGCGCGGGGACGAGCGTCATCGGCATGGTGTTGTCCCAAGCCTTAGGGGCCTCGTCCTTGCTCATCTCGTAGCTCTTGCCCGTGCCCGCTTCCTTGTAAACCTCGCAGACGAGGGTCTCCTGGGCCATGGCGGCGGCCTGTCCGAGAAGGGTGCCGCGGGGCACGGTGACCATGTTGCCGCTCGGAGAGAAGACCACTTTGACCGGGCCTTTCGGGACCTTCAAGTAGTGTCGGCTGAGCGTCAAAGAGACCGAATCCGACTCCGAGCCCTGAATGCACTCGACGATCTTCTCAATGTTGGCCTGGCAATCAACACCATCGACCGCAAGAATCTCGTCGCCCTCTAGCACCCACATGCCATCTCCACCCTGCGTGAGCACCTCCTGATTCACCTTCCAGCAGCCCGCGCCCTCTATGACCTCGCCGATGCCGACGCCCCGGGGATCCTTGGGGGGGAACTCGACCAGCTTCGCGCCCAGCGGCTTCGTGACGGTGACGTCAAAGACGGAGACTCCGCCCGCCACCTCCTTGCACCGCTCCCGCCACTCCTTTTGGCATAAAGCAAGCGGGTCCTGGGTCCTTCACCCAAGACCCGCCTTTCTGCCGTCCCGAGTCGTGTTCTGACAACCCCTGGGGCCCATGGAGGGCCCCGGGAGCCCAGAAACGGCGAAGAACCTGAGGATACGTTTCCCTCAGGACCCGCTTGCTCTGCGGTGGCGTCCAAGAGGGGGACGTCCAAGAGTCGGGAGCGGCCAAGAGGGGGGTGTCCAAGAGGGGGGGGTGCAAATCATGACCGGCGGCATGTGCGCAGCCCAGCGAGGGGGCCAGGGACGTATTAAAATAAGAAGAGGCGCCATAAAATCTGTGGAAATATCATGGCCCCCGCCATGATATCCACCCCCCCCTAGTCATCACCCCCCTCTTTGCCGCCCACGAAAGAGAGGGGGTTCGCAAACCATGGCCCGAGGCATGCGCGCGGCCCGGGACGCATTGGAATCAGAAGAGGCGCCCTGACATGTGGGGAGATCTCATGGCCCCCGCCATGCTTGTCAACCCCCCTCGTCATCACCCCCCCTCTTGTCACGAGCGGCGGGGAACATCTCCGCATCCGCGCCCTCGCTGTCTGGATTGCGGGGCGCGATCCCGCGGATACGGACATGCTTCTCGCCAGCGATCTTGGCCGCCACCGAGCTTCATGGCGATCCTTCTGCGTGGCCGAGCGGCCGCCCCGGGCCGAGCGCGCCGCCGCGCGGCGGCCGCGGCGGGCAGCCGTCCAGCTCAGCGCCGCGGCCGCGCCGCAGCCGAGCTCGGCCGCGTGCCCGCGCAGGAGCGGGCCCGAGGGGGCCCCGGTGCGCGCCGCCGCAGCGGCAGGGCCCGCCGCTGGGGCGCCGCACGGCGCCGGCGAGCGCGCCGGCGCGGGGGCGAACGCCGTGGCGGCGTGCATGGCTTGCAGACGACTATGTATAGCCCCAAGGGCTTGAGCCCAAATGGCTGTGGAGGCCGGCGCTGCGGACGGCGACGCAAACGATGGAGATGATCCTCGTTCCTAGCACCGCTTCTGGAAGACGCAGCGGCGACTTCTCTAGCACAGCCACCACTCCAATGTGGAGGGCAAGACTTCTAGACACCACGAAGGGTGGCTCGGTCGTTTGGCCGTGAGGCAAAGGGGTCGACGCATACGCTCCGGAAGGAAGCGGGATGGGGAGGAGGAGGAGGAGGAGGAGGAGGAGGACGGAGACGGCGGCGACGAGGCTTCCACGGGCCGGCTGGCCCAGGCCTTCAAAGGCCCACAAGAGCAAGACCGAAGCCTGGGCCCCCGAGGAGAGGCGCAGGAGAGGAACGGGGGGAACGAAAGGGGGGATAGCAAAGGGCAGGGTAGAGAATCAGCTCCCGCATTTGGACGTCCGAAATGGTATTGAAAAAATTGGTACAATGCCTAAAAACAAACGTTGTCCCAAACCAACAGCGGACAAATGGACACAGGCCGCGGCGGCGCGGACAGCGAGTCCTGTTCAAATGAACAAGAACTGCTTTTGGGCATCGTACCCCTTCTTTCCGTACAAAATTCTTTCCGACTCTCCGGGATGGGCCCGCTACCGTGCCTCTCCTTTCCCTCTACGTGCACAGATCTATCCTCAAAAAGCCGTCCCCGAGAAAAACCAGAACGACGCCCTTGTGAACAGAAGCCCCCGCACCTGCATCAGAGACCCCATCCCCATCCTCATCCCCTTCATCACCGCATCAGCGCACCCCTCCTACCCCGCTGCGTCAGCATACCTGCCCAGGAAAACCCGCCCCGAATAAAACCAGAACGACGTCCTTATGAGTACCACATTCCCTCGGCGAGATCTCATCTCTCTCTCTCTCTCTCCCGTTGTCCACCTCCTCCTCATCGTGCCCATCCTCCTCCTCCTCCTCCTCCTCCTCCTCCTCCTCCTCCTCCTCCTCCTACGACTACTGACGTTTGTGCTCCCCTCCCCCCCCCTCTGCCGGCCCCTCGTCCTCATCCGCATCCGCAACCCCGTCCCTACCCTCATCCCCCTGGCGCCCTCTTCATTGCACCTCTCCTTGCCCTCAACGTCGGCGCGTCTGCCCTGAAAAAAAAAACGCCCCTGAGAAAAACCAGAACGACGTCCTTATGACAAACCACCCCCGCACCCGCATCCGCAACCCTAGCCTCATCCTCATCCCCCTCACCACCTTATCATCACGCGCCTGCGTCCCCTGTACGTCAGCATACCTGGCCAGGTGAAGCCGCCCCGAATTAAACCAGAACGACGTCCTTATGAAAGCCAGCCCCGTCGGCGAAATCCTACATCTGTCTCCCTCTTTCCACCTCCTCCTCCTCCTCGGCGCGCCCCTCTTCCTGCTTTGGTTCCTGCTCCCATCCCTCCCCCTCCGCTGACCCGTCGTCTTCATCCGCATCCTCCACCCCGTCCGTACCCTCATCCCCCCGACGCCCTCTTCATCGCACCTCTCCTTGCCCTCTACGTCGGCACGTCTGCCCTGAAGACGCAGCCCCGGAATATGTCCAGAACGACGTCCTCACAAGGACCAGCCCCCGCACCCGCACCCCAAACTCTAGCCCCATCCACATCTCTGCGTCACCTCGTCATCGCACGCATCCGTCCCTGGAAAAACCGCCCGTTTGTAAACCGCAGCGACGTCCTTATGAAAGCCAGTCCCTCCTTGCCCGCCTGCTCGATCACAAGATAGACCCAAACATGTCGGCCCACAAGATCTTCCGAGAACCACTTGCGGCGGGAGCAGAAACGATGTCCAAGGTTGCACTGGCACGTGTTCACGGGCGACCATGGGGAATCTGCCAACGACGATTTCGACAATTCGAACCGCGCGCACGCCGCAAACACACCATCAGCACACCGGGCACAAAGGCGCACCGACACGCAACACCCATGCGCAAGAAATTACGTTATTTTCACGATACGTCTATGTGTTTTGCTGAGTGCTGGCGGTGTGCCCGTGGTGCGCCTGCGTCGTGGTGCTTGCGAACGTGCGTTTCCAATGGCAGCGCCCCTGCACAAACGATAGCTCGGTAACGCGACAGGAGAACTCTAAGCTCAGGCCATGCAAGAAGATCCCTGGCGTCCATATCCAGAATTTGTCAAATTCATGTTTATTGTTCATTTTGGCAGCATTTCCATTTTGCAAACATGAACTCAAGAAACGCGCGCCCCTACCAGATGGTTTTCCCGCCCCTACCAGATGTGCAGTCGCCCACCCATCAGAGCCCCCACCCCCGATCGAGCTCTCCTTTGTCTCCCCACCCCACTCAGCCGTCCTCTTGCAATCAAGATGCGTCCGCTTCCTCCCTCAAAACACGAAGGACATCTCGGGTGTGAGCGATGGCTTCCGTCACTCTCCCCTCGCTCTGATCCCTTGCGCCCGGACCCCCCCGCAAAACGCCCCAAGCCTCGTGGACATCTTTGAAAAATGCGAGCGCTCCCTGCGTCAAAACACACACGAAACATATTCGGTTGCAGCGCTACCCCCCGCCACTCCTCCGCCCCCGGGATGTCTTGGCCACCGAATCTCCTCAAAACGCACCCGGTGCCCCTATGTTCGACGAAATTGCGGGCGTGTCGCGCTTCAAACTACAAGCGAAGCTTTTGAAGTCGGCGATGGTCGTCGTCAACCCCCACGCCCGGCCCCCGCGAAACCAACACCCATCAGCTGAAACGTTTCCTGCTTCAGCTCCCCTTCCTCTTCTTCTTCCTCATCCCCCTCCTCCTCGACTTCCTCCTCCTCCCCCATCTCGGCGTTCTCCGGGGCGAGGCGCGCAGTGCATCCGGCGACTGCAGGCCGCCCGCCTCAAGAGGTCGGGCACGTCCAGGGGGATTTGTGACGAAAAATGGAAATGGTAAAACAATATTCCAAAAAGGTGCAAAATAGTAAGAAAATCCTTCCTTCTTACTATCTTTGAATATCCTCCTTTAGAGGGAGGTGCCCGACTTAACCGTGGCCCCTGGTGAGGCCGTGCCGTATGCGTTTTCTCATGCCGCCGCGGCGGCAGGGCGCTCGCGTTGGCGGCCGCGTCGCCCTCCGTCCGTCGGCGATTCGGTGCGCGCGCGCACGTGTCATTCTCAGACGACGAAAGCACGGCATAAACATAGCCTTCCGGAGCTCCCCGCGGATTTGTTTTATCGGCGCTGCGCCCCCCTGGCGGCGCCTCTGGCGCCGCCCCTGGCTAACTGCGCGCGACAGGGAGGGGGGGGGGTCGAGCGCACTTCCAGGAAGTCCGCGCGGGGCTCCGAACAAATGACATGCATGCCGTCACTGATATCGAGCTCCCTGCCCCCTGCCTCTCTGCCCTCGGCTCAAATGAGGCCCTGAGGGGTGGGGCCCTAAAGTAGAGAGGTGCCAACGACGCATCCACAACGTATATGAAGCGTCATAGAAAGTGCGCCATATACTGTCCCAGATGCGTGGCCATTTCCGGTGCACTGGCGATGACATGTCCGATGCGTTGTGGACTTGTTGGGGATGTGTCGGCGGCACCTCCGGGGAGGGATGAGGCCCTGAGGACGGAAGGGGCTCCGGATTGAGCCTGCGTGGTTTAAGGTCCCTCGTCCTTCGGGCCGCGTTCCTCGGCCAGCGGGACAAGCAACAGCAGAAGGCATACACACATCACCTTGCGAAGGTCCACGCGGATCTCTCGGATCGGCGCTGGTCTCCCCTGCGCGCCGGGGGCGGCTCCGGAGGCGCCGCCAGGGGGCTCAGCACCGATCCAGCAACTCCGCGCGGGACTCCGAAAGTTGATGCTTCTGTCGTTTCCTTGTCCTTCGATCTGGGCCCCATCCTTGGGGCCGCCGACCCTGCGCGGGAGCCGCCGCCGCCCCCGCCCCCTGCCGGCCGCGCTGCCCGAGCGGGCCACGCCGATCGTCGGCATGCGAGGGCCACGGGCGACGGAGCAGCGTCCCCCGCGCGGTCGGCGAGCGGATCCGGGCTCTGGCCCGCTCGGCTGCGGAGCGTGGAAGAACAAAAGCTGGCACACACTGGGAAATTAGGAGGAGGAAGAGGAGGTGGAGGAGCACGAGGAGGAGGAGGTGGAGGAGCACGAGGAGGAGGAGGAGGAGAAGGAGGAGGAGGAGAAGGAGGAGGAGGAGGAGGAGGAAAGTGAGGAGAGGGAGGAGAAGGGGAAGGAGGAGGAGGAGGAGGAGGAGGAAAGTGAGGAGAGGGAGGAGGAGGAGGAGGAGGAGGAGGAGGAGGAAAGTGAGGAGAGGGAGGAGGAGAAGGAGGAGGAGGAGGAGGAGGAGGAGGAGGAGGAGGAAGAGTGGGGAGGGGGAGCACAGCTGACTCCCCTTGCGCCCCGCGCCCCGCGACGTGCGGCGCGCGGTGGCCTCCGCGCCCTCGCGCCGCCGCCCGGGAGAGAGGCAGCCGATGCAGTCCAGACCGCGGCCCAGCGAAGCGCGATGATCTGCGCGCCCCCGCGGGTGACCCCGAGGAGCACAGGCTCTCGGAGGTCCGCGTCGACTTCTGGGGCCGGCGCTGGGCCCCCCTCCCTGGCGCGCGGGATGCGCGCCCCGGGCGGCGCCGGAGGCGCCGCCGGGGGGGGGCCCAGCGCCGATCCGAGAAATCCGCGCGGACCTCCCAGGAATGATTTAAACGACGCGAAGATCGAGGCAAAATCGGATCGGGATAACTCGAAATCTCTGAGAATCGGCGGGTTTGGAGGATGTATTGGGCGCCGCGGCCGCTCCAGAACGTTCTGGAACGCTCTGAGAGCGCTCCGGAACGCTCTGGAGCGATTTATCCCGATCCTAGCCCTGTTTTAATGATGTTTGTGCCGCTTTGTTTTTCGAAAGCAGGCCCGGCCCTATCTCGGAAGTGTGCCGGGAGCAGAGTCCATCACCCTGGTCCCGCCGTAGAGAGTATCATCAACCGCCTTCGCCTTGGTCTCCCCGGGCGCGGGGACGAGCGTCATCGGCATGGTGTTGTCCCAAGCCTGAGGGGCCTCGTCCTTGCTCATCTCGTAGTTCTTGCCGGTGCCCGCTTCCTTGTACACCTCGCAGACGAGAATCTCGTTGGCCATGGCGGCGGCCTTTCTGAGAGGGGTGCCGCGGGGCACACTGACCATGTTGCCGCTCGGAGAGAAGACCACCTTGACCGGGCCTTTCGGGACCTTCAAGTAGTGTCGGCTGAGCGTCAAAGTGACCGAATCAGACTCCGAACCCTGAATGCACTCGACGATCTTCTCTATGTTGGCCCGGCAATCAACACCATCGACCGCAATAATCTCGTCGCCCTCTAGCACCCACATGCCATCTCCACCCTGCGTGAGCACCTCCTGATTGACCTTCCAGCAGCCTGCGCCCTCTCTGATCTCGCCGATGCCGACGCCCCGGGGATCCTTGGGGTGGTACCCGATCAGCTTCGCGCCCAGCGGCTTCGTGAGGGTGACGTCGAAGACGGAGACTCCGCCCGCCACCTCCTTGCACCGCTCCCGCCACTCCTTTTGGTATAAAGCAAGCGGGCCCTGGGTCCTTTACCCAGGACCCGCCACTCTTTCGACCCGAGTCGTGTTCTGACAACACCTGGGGCCCATGGAGGGCCCTGGGAGCCCAGAAACGGCGAAGAACATGAGGACACGTTTCCCTCAGGACCCGCTTGCTCTGCGGTGGCGTCCAAGAGGGGGACGTCCAAGAGGGGGGTTCGCAAACCATGGCCCGAGGCATGCGCGCGGCCCGGGACGCATTGGAATCAGAAGAGGCGCCCTGAAATGTGGGGAGATCTCATGGCCCCCGCCATGCTTGTCAACCCCCCTCGTCATCACCCCCCCTCTTGTCACGAGCGGCGGGGAACATCTCCGCATCCGCGCCCTCGCTGTCTGGATTGCGGGGAGCGATCCCGCGGATACGGACATGCTTCTCGCCAGCGATCTTGGCCGCCCCCGAGCTTCATGGCGATCCTTCTGCGTGGCCGAGCGGCCGCCCCGGGCCGAGCGCGCCGCCGCGCGGCGGCCGCGGCGGGCAGCCGTCCAGCTCAGCGCCGCGGCCGCGCCGCAGCCGAGCTCGGCCGCGTGCCCGCGCAGGAGCGGGCCCGAGGGGGCCCCGGTGCGCGCCGCCGCAGCGGCAGGGCCCGCCGCTGGGGCGCCGCACGGCGCCGGCGAGCGCGCCGGCGCGGGGGCGAACGCCGTGGCGGCGTGCATGGCCGGCGCGGGCTTCGGGTGACAGCCGACGTTGCAGGCGGCTGGGTGTAGCCCAAGTGGCTTGAGCCAAACAGCGGCGGTGAAGGCCGGCGCTGCAGTCGCTGCGGGCGACGGCGGAAACGACGGAGGTGATTCCACCATCGACTTGACGTCATCGTTCCTAGCGCCACTACCCGGGGGCACGTTATAGGGGGGGCGGAGCGGTTCAGGGCGGGAAGAAAATGAAGCTGGAAGCGGCGGCACATCACCAGTGGATTGGCGACAAGCCCCCGACAGCGAAGCCGCACGCGCCTGGGTGGGGTGGGCTATCAGGCCCCAGTCGGCGATAACTGGGCGAGCTGGTGTCGACGCTTCCCCCCCTGAGCCTATCCCCCTGTAACGGCAGCGTGCATGGCCGGCGCGGGCTCTGAGCGATAGCCGGCATTGCAAACGACAATGGCCCAAATGGCTGTGAAAGCCGGCGTTCCGGACGACGAAAACGCTGATACCTATCACGTCAGCGTGACATCTTCATTCTTAGCACCACTCCACTGGGAACGTGGCGCTTTCGCTAGAACGACAATGCACTGGTGGGGGCAATGGGTGGTGCAGCTTCTAGATAGCATTCGGAGAGGCTGGCCCTCTGAACGGCTGTTTCAAGCCTCTGTCGGGGGCCTGACGCATGGCATGCTGGGACATCCTCCGATCCAGCGTGAGAGGAGGAGGGAGAGGCGTAGGAGGAGGAGCAGGAGGAGGAGGAAAAGGAGGATGAGGAGAACGATGAGGAGATTCAGGGGCAGGTGGAAGGGACTGAGGATCCCTGGATAGCGAAATCGATAACCTGTTTAGGCAGAAAAGCCGCCCAAGTCCGACATGTCAGGCCCTCTTTTTCCTTGAACTATCATGAGCGTGGTTCGCTTGATTTCGAACGCCGTTCAAGGATGTGGATTCTGTACCCAGGCCGACCACATTGACGCCATATTCGCAACATGAATCAACACACATGTAACAATGAGTGAGTTCGAAGCACGGGAGCCGACTTTGCCTTTTGGGGAATCACGGGGAGACGTTTTACCTTGTAATGGCCACGGCGCGTGGCCGACCGCATCGAAGAGAAACGCATCCGATCAAGGTCGACCGAGTAATACAGCCGAACAGATGGTAATTTGAGAGACCGGCGCCACTTTCTTTGAAATGGCTTGAGACACGCCTGGGCCAACTGTTTCTGTTAACGCTGGAGGGGAGAACGTGCGCAAGAAACTGGGGCAGCTGTCCGGCAAGTTGGCGACGAAACGCTGGCCCAACTTTTTGGGAGGAAGTGTCTTAATCAGATGCTCGACTGTAGAAGGATAATGGCGATAATGCCACGATCTTCATATCGAGCCTCTTCCTGCCATGCGGGCGTGCTGCAAACCCCGTGGAGGCAGAGGCGTGCAAGCGATGCGAGCACATGCATGCAGAGAGTCAGGGGCAGCCCTCGAATTCTTCGCTCCCCCCCGCCAACCATCCAGCTCAGTCCATCGCAGGGTAAGGCAATACATGCGCATACGAAGAATCGAACCCTGTGCTGGCGCACATTGGGGAAGTCAATTCCTTGTTACAAACGAGAAGGAGGACAGCTTTTCTGGGTCTTCCTTTTCGTGCAGGGTCTCGATGGGCTGGGGGTTCTGGAAGAGGTCCACCCCATTCACGAGAAAAGCTGCACCCCTTACATCTAAACTGAACCTGAAGCCTTACGTTGCCCCCATCGTACTGAAGGACCACATCCCAGAAATAATTTCGAGCACCCAGAAAACTATCGAAACAGTGTCGAACGAGTATCGCCTCCCAGAGCCCGACACGTGAAAGCATTCAAATTTCGGCACTTTCCTGATGCTCGAAATTCTTTCTGGTGATCAAAGCCAACGTAGGGTTGGAACATCATAAGAGAAGGCCTTGTCGGAAGGCTCAGAAGTCCATCCGCCTTCGGAGAAGTCTCATCAGCTTTGCCCGAAGGCGCACGCACACACAGAACTTCTCAGGAGGCCCGAGGGCCTCGGGGAAGCCCCGCCGCCTTCGGAGAAGGCCTCCTCCTCCTCGCTTCCCTCCCTCGCCCGCCGCCGATCCTCCTGAGCCGCTTGGAACCTCATAACTAAAGCCCTTCGGCTAGGTCGCCACAGCCGCCGCGCTACACGCCGCGCGAAGAGCGGGTATATGTCCTCGCGCCGTCGGCCCGCTCGCCTGGAGTGGGAACGCCTCTCCGGGCAAGATCGCCAACCTCGGCGAGACGGACAACGTGTGGTAGTTTTAGGTCGGGCACGTCCCCCATACAGGAGGATTCTGGGCGAACAAAAATTAAAAGCACCCAAAGAGACACTCAACAAGGACCAACAAATACTCTCAACATCGTCCCCTGACTATGTTTTGACTGTTTTTGGGCATTCCTTCTGTAGATGGACAGGCCCGACTCAATTAAGACCCCCCCCCTCTCCAGCGAAAGTATAACGCACCCAGCACCCCAGAAGCGTTACCCTGGCACCTCGCACCTTTATGTGAACGCAGACGAGTCCGCTCGCCGAAACAAGCAAACCGCCTGAGAAATTCTCGCAATACGGTCTCGTAGTAGTATTATCATGATTATTGTTAGTATTAATATTGTTCTTGTTACTATTATGATTCCTCGTAATTGACTGTTATTCTTATCCTTATTCTGATGCCGATTCCAATTGGGATACCATCCGAGCTGGGGCGCGGGAATTATTTATTTTCGTTCCACTTGCGCGGTGCTAATCATCTCGTTCGGCGAAAACCATCCCAGAATTAATTTCGAGCGCCTGGAAAAGTGTCGAAAAAGAGTCGAAAGAGTGTCGAAACAGTGTCGGACGAGTGTCTCCCAGGGCCCTACACGTGAAAACCCTCGAGTTCCGGTACTTTGCTGGAAATTCGTTCTGGTGGTCAAGGCTGAAATAGGTTGGAACATCATAGCCCTGGTCACGTCACGATCCGCGCCGGCGCCGCCTGGGAATGAGCCACTCTCGGGCATCCCCAGACGGCGCAGGCGCGACTCGTGACGCACCGCTGCCCCCTCTTCCCCTCCCCCCCTCCACAGATCACGCCCGTTGTCACCAGGGGAAACTCATCAGGAGAGAAATAAGGGTCCCTTGGCAGCGCATCCGCCTTCCTCTAGCGGCGTCGAAAAACCGAATCGCTTGGCAAAAACATCCCAACAGAGCCCAAGAGGCTCCGAAGAGTGCCTCAAGAAGGGCTCCAGAGCGTCAGCGTCGTCGTCGCCGCCGCCGTCGTCGTCCCCCATCTAGGTCGGCGGCACCGGCCATGAGGCCTTCCCAACAACAAAAACAGCCCCTGGGCAGCGCAGCCACCATCCTCTGTAGCGGCGCCGAACAAGACACGAGAATCGCGGAGCAAGAACACACAGCGAAGGCCGTACAAACCCGGAGGCGAGCCCGAGCCCAAGCGGCCCGCGAGGAAGGCTGGCGAAGAGAGGGCACAAAGATCGGGGAGACGTAAGTTTCGGGTTCGGGGGACTCGGGTTGGCCTGACGGGGCTGTCAGGGAAATGACGAGACCCAGTCTGACATTTGACACGGGCTCCCGCTGCAGACATCCCACAACACCTGGGCCGCCAGAATCTAGGACCGGCTCGTCAAAAAGCGCCGGCAAACCCGAGTTCAGGCGCACTCGAGCCTTACGTTTCCCCGACGCTTGGGAGGAGTGGAAGCCACAGTTCACCGACGGGAGGGGGGGAGGAGAAGGAGCAGCAGGAGAGGGAGGAGGCCTGGCGGCGAACGAAGCGGGCAGCTGCCCCCCCCCCGCCCCGCGCACATCCGACGAGCAGACTTTGTCATCCATGGAGAGGCCCCGACTTCTTCCCGGGGGCCGGTTGTTCGTCCTGGAACACGGCCCCGGGGCCCGACAGCGGCCTCCGGAGGCAGACATCGAGGAAACACGCCGGGAGCGGAGCACGAGCAGGTCGGAGTCCAGGGGCCAAGAGCTTGCCAGGTCTCCGCCGTGCACTGATGGCGCGTCTGGCGGGCGCGAGTGGGGCGAGCAGAAAGCCTCGGAGGGTGGCGCGGGAGCTCCTGGCGGTTCGCCCGGAGGTTGCTCACGACGGGTCCGAGGTCCGCCCAGGAGCCC